TACTTTTTGGACTTAATATTAGTTGAAAATAATGTTAACACGATATCGGGTGCGTCGAATATCGTTGAAGGCTCCGGAAGAGCTTGTATTATTTTACCAAATAATACAAAATTATATATTGATGATGTACTTTATTATAGCAAATTCAGAAGAAATTTGCTTAGCTTTAAAGATATCCGCTACAATAGATATCATATTGAGACGATGTAAGAAAATAATACTGAATATCTTTGCATAACCTTTTTTGTATCTGATCAGAAGCAGATGAAAGAAAAATTTTATACACTTATATCTGGCATGTATTATACATTTATAAAAATGGTTGAATCAAATAATGTCACACACCAGAAGTTCGTTGACCCAAAATGCTTTATTCTTTGGCAGGATCGACTTGGATATCCAGGAGTTATAATGATGCGTAGAATAAAAAACAATTCACATGGACATCCTTTAAAGAACCAGAAGAATCTTTTACCTAATGACTATCTATGTGTAGCTCGTTTGTAATGCAAATTAGTCATTAGACTTTCAACTACAAAGATTAATATTGAATCTCCAATTTTATTGGAAAGAATTCATGGAGATATATGTGGGTCAATATAACCACCACGTGGACCATTTCGTTATTTTATGGTGTTAATTGATTCTACTACTAGATAGTCACATGCTTGCCTACTTTCCATTAGGAATGTAGCATTTGCTATACTACTTGCTAAAATTATAAAATTACGAGCGCAATTCCCCTATTACTCAATTAAAACTATTCGCCTTGACAATGCTGGTGAATTTAGATCACAAGTATTCGATGATTATTGTATGTCAATTGGGATTGTAATTGAAAAAATATCAATTTCGTCCACTTGAAGATGGAGAAAAAGTTATTGGTCCCGAAGTATCATATCTTAGTGCAATTGGAGTATTAACTTATCTTGCAAATTGTACTCGATCCGATATAGCATTTTTTGTAAATCTCCTTACAAGATATAACTCTACACCACCTTAAAGACCTTGAAATGTTGTTAAACATATTTTTTGTTACTTAAAGGGTACAATTGACTTGAGATTATTTTATCCTCAAAAGTTGGGATCTGTTTTAGTGGGATATACAAATGCATGTTATCTATCTTACTCACATAAAGCTAAATCACAAACAGGTTATATATTTACATGTGGATGAACAGCTATATCACGGAGATTCGTGAAGCAATCATTGACACCCACACCCTCAAATCATTATAAAATTATTGCAATCCATGAAGCAGCCCGAGAATGTATGTAGTTGAGAAACACGACCCATCATATCCAAGAATCGTGCGGATTAACTTCAAGAAAGGATAGTCCAACAATTTTGTATGAAGATAACGCGGCTTGTATTGCACAACTAAGATGATGCTATATCAAAGGTGACAGAACGAAGTATATTTATCTAAAATTCTTTTATATACAGGAGTTTCAAAAGAATGACGAAATCGATATCCAACAAATTCGCTCAAGTGACAATGTTGCTGATTTATTCACCAAAGCAGTGCCAACATCTACATTCAAGAAATTAGTTCAAAAGATTAGAATGCGTCGATTCAAAGATTTTAAGTTATCAACATCAGATGGAATAATTGTACATTTTTCCTTTACATAAGTTTTGTCCCACTGGGTTTTCCTAAAAAGGTTTAAATGAGGTAGTATTTATTTTTAGTATTCCAAAATAATTGTACTCTTTTTCCTTTGTTTGATTTATTTCCATTGAATTTTTATCAAACAAGATTATAACGAGGCAGTTATTGTACAAATAATCATCAAAGGGGGAGTGTTGTAAAATGGGGCTCAATCCCACGAGCGGCTCGTGGGTTCGTCAAAATATATGAATTTTTTTTAAAAAAATGTCCAAAATGTTCAAATTTGCAAAAAAAAAAATCTTAAAAATTTAAAAAAATCTCGAGCTAGCGAGCGACTCGTGGACTTGTGAGCTCACAAGCTCGTGGGCCGAGCCGAGCTTGCCCCTGAGCAACGACCCGAGCTAGAGCTCGGCTCGTCTTTCACGAGCCACTAGCTCGGCTCGTGCTCACGAGCTCGAGCCGAGCTCGTGAGTTAAAGGGCCAAGTAGTCGGCTCGGCCCATTATCATCACTACTTTTCCCTTTAGTTTTATAACATTAAGGATATTTTTTTTCTTTTATTCAACAAAATGCCATTTTGATGAATGGCAAAATTTTATGGTTATAGTGGAAAAAGGGCATTTTGAGTTGGCCCGTCATAAAAATACCCTTGGATCGACTAATAATGCGAAAGTTCAACCTATGAATCGATGATTTGGTGCCTCGGTTGGGTCAATGCCCGGCTTGGTATGATAGTTTTGCTTTTAATGATTTTATGGATCATTACAGAATTAATGAAAGTTTCTCATAGATTTGTATAGAGTTTTATTTAAAGGACTTTTATCGAATTTCATTTGACTTTTATTTACTTTTATTTTAGAAAAAATAAATTGTATATAAAACTATATGCATATATAACTTTTTGTAAATAATTTATTTTACGAAATTATGTTATTTCTACCGTACAATATGTAACTATTATGAACCACTATTTACGTGATATAATTCAAAATAGATAATTAGGAACAAATAATACAAAATCATATTACTTATGTCGATAATTTTATTTTTTATTTTAAAAAAAAGAATGTATGAATCTCCTCAATTATGAATAAACAAAAAAATAAAATAAAAATAAAAACATTCTAGTGGTCACAATGAAAGACTCGGAATGAAAGAAATATAAATACATAATTTTATGAGTATGCTCAACATAACTCTACATACAAGTTACATATTAGTTTACCAACAAATTATGTGATAAAATTTGATTGGGTCAGAATCTTATCAATCAAATTAAAAAAATAAAAATAAATCTCCTTCAGTTTATTTTTGACACCTCTCAAAAAAATTATATAAATAGTGATGTACAACAAGATTTTTTTACAATTATAATGGCCCTCAATTCATTATCGTTATCTCTTTGCTGTGAAATTATTATTGTATATAATCGTTAAAGCATCATGCTACTTGATCTCGTTTGAAATAATATCAAAATAATTCCATGAAAAATATTGACAATCAATTACACTCTTAGTATTTTGGAAAAATCAAGGCATGTTCAATTTTCAAAATTAATTAGACTGATGGTCAATTTTGGTTAGGATGACAAAATGCCATGCTCTGCGTTGTTCCATCCCAAATGGGCAAGAATTCTTTGTTGGTAAATTGAAGTGGTGAACAAGGAGTATGGTATCCTCTCTAACTTTTATTTTTAATATATTTAAATAGATAATATAAGATTGAAAATGAGGAATTTATAATCTTGTTCCACCTTTTAAATTCTTTGCACGGGGACGGGACCCGTCCTATACTTGGTCCAATATTAGGAATATGCGGGAAACATGACAAATACTGTTCCGATCATTTTCATCACTTTCATTTCATCTGTCTACTGAAAAGAAAAGAAACATAAGAACTTGCCCTCTGGAGCATAATCCAGTAGTGTAAATGTCATGAGTGAGTTAGTCTCAGTCTTACCGGCAGTTTTAGTGTAAGGATTCGATTCTTGAGATATGAAATTAGATTCTTTGTGGGCACCAGTGTATGTGCAAGCTCTTGTTCACTGGACTGTTGGGGCACATCCCGCGATTTACTTCCCCCACGGTACTCCAGGGACGAGGCGGTGAGGATCCACAAAATTAGGGTTCAACCTTTAAGAAACACAACAACTTACATCTTCTAAATGACACTAGAATTCATATTCACAACTAGATGTACCTACTCCTTATCCTTTTGATTTGGGGAAAGTGCGCGCCTGTCACCTTGCCACTTCAGCTCAAGTAAAGGAATTTTACAACTATAAAATCATCACTGTTTTCAACATTTGAATTGAATTTTAAGTTAAGAAAATCGAAACTTAGCTGTTTGAAATTTTAATGGTTGGAACGATGTTTTTTTTTAAAGAATATGTGGTTAAAAAATAAAAAAAAGATTTTGGAAGTATGTATAATATTATTTTATCGAATAATGTATAGTTAACAAGAATAGAGAACAAATGAATTATAATTTTAATGAGAACTAAAGAGGGACTTAAATTGATTGAATTGACAACTTGCACGAACATTGTCTGAGAGGACCTCAGTTGTCAATGAAATATATTGTTGGGATATATGTCCTTGTTTGAGCCCCATTTTTTAGGGAAGAATGAATTTTTGAATAGTGTATTGATATGAAATGTGTGGTTAAAAAATAAGGAAATTTTTTGAATTTACGTGTAATATTATTTTATTAAATAATGTGTGATTGAAATGATGTCAAAATACTATTAAAAATGAATTTTTCCAAAAGAATGAGTCTCAAAGAAGGACTATGATTCCTCCACTTGTAGATGGATCCAAATGCACATCTCATGAAAGGTTAGGGATCGCGCTACTATTTTTGAGGGGCCCATATGCAAATTCTTCAAACTTCAGAGGCTGAACTACACTTTTGAAAAATACGGACTAAACATCTGCTTTCCCTCCAGCGGAGCCCCAAATTCATTCCACTCTTCGTTTCCCTCTCAATTTCATTTTCTATTATTATTATTATTTTTTCAGTTCACCAACAAAAAAATTCCTTGCGAAGGGAAAAAATTTCCTCAAAATTTTTATGGATCCGACCACCAGCGACGCCAAAAACAACCGGCTGAACGAGAGTTCTGAAGGTGGTGGCGATGGCGGCACCACCATGGCTCTGCAGAAGAAGCGGTCCAGGCGAGTGAGTTTTGCAGAGATGACGTCGGTTCACTTTTTCGACCGTGACGATGAGTATAACGAAACCCCTCGAACGAACACTGCAAATCCTGGTGACAACTTGGGTAATGACTTAGGGTTTGATGGACAATTGAAGGAACCAAAGGATTTCGGAGGAGGTGATGATGATGATAATGATGAAGAGATGGTTATGCGGAGTTCATTTTTGCGTCCAATGGAGTCGCCTTCTCCTGGTAGCACCATTGGTTCCGCCACCTCCAATGATGGCAAGTGTCTTCGGTTTGTTTATGGAATGTATTTGTGTTTTTAAAAATGTTTTCCCTTCCCAGCTACTTATTTGATGCTGCTTTTTTAATGTTTCTTATCAAGCATGAGGCTCGTCTAGGCCTTCCAGCATAGTTTTCATGTTTAACGTTTGTCTTAATTAACTCTTTACAGCTTTTGAGGGAATTAGATATTTCAATGGTTCAATGAATAACAGTTAACGTATTCTTAAGTCTAATTTGCAAAATTTACTGTCCGTTGCTCCAAATGGGGAATGTGTGATACTCTCATGTCCAACGGATGGACGAGAGCCTTTCAATGCATTAACGAGTAGTGTTATTCTCCTAGTTTCTGATAGGAGATTTTGAGCCAAAAATTCTACAAAATTTACTATGCAATTGCTTTAGCTCTTTTAAAGAAGCAGCTACTTCTATGTTTTGATCACAAAGAACGTCTTCCTCTGCTGTAACATAATCATGATCTCACAGAATGCTCTCAAGGGCCTCAGCAATCATTATTTACAGTAGAGTGCTGATAGATTAAAGAGCTAGGTCCCTTTGGTGATTTTATCTTTTTGTCGCTTCTAGAACATTGTAAAGAGGGATTACTACACATTTAGCAATTACTGACGGATCTTTTGTAGAATTTTTGCATATCATCTAACATTAACTTATTCTCCTACTTGATATGGTAATGCATATAGTTTCATATTTTATTTACACACACTTAAAACATAACATTTACCTTTCATATACCATATACACGTCACTTAACATCTAATCAGTTCATTCACACTAGCTAAATCTCTAAATTTTGTGCTGGATAGACATAATTGGCAAAATATGAGGTTTAAGCTAGTGGAACTGTTGCATCAGACCAAAAGGAGAAATCTATTTTGCTTGCCCGTTACAAGTTATGCATGACTAATCATCTTACTAATAAATGCCCAAAGTTTCTATTTTGCTTTTCATTCATTATGGTTATGTTCGGACTGAGGATGATGTTGTGCAAATTCCTTCATCACAATAGCAAACATTCTTCATTTCTTTATTTTGTTTTCTGAATTGATAAAGTACTAACTTTTTCCCTTAATGTTGCTCAGAAGATAATTTCTTTGGGCCTGTATCAGCCAGTTTCATAAGGCCTGGCCGGTTGTCTGACTCTGCAGCCTCAGATGATAATCATGATGTTACAATGGATTCAACTGCATTTTCCATGCATTTTCGTAGTCTTGCTAGATCAGAATCTGGGGTAGACTTCAAGACCCCAACAGGTGTTAATCTCTCCTTTGAAGAGAAAACTCCAACGAATGAGAATGTAGGAAGTTTCATGAAATTGACTTTAGTTAAGAAGCCGATTTCCGAATCCTCCATTCCTGCCACAAATGTTAGTGGAAGTCGTGATTCAAATGATATGAGTCTTGTTGGTGAAAACCCCAACAAGTATAACTATGAGAAATTGTCTCCAGGATTGGATGCACTTTTAGCAGAAAGCAGAAAAAATTTGCTTGTTGTTGGTGGCTCCGATGATATTAATGTCTCACAATCACCGGGGATGATGAAAAGTAGGCTCTCTGTATCATCATACGATGGGGATAGGCTTATGGATTTAAGTGAGTTTGCAAAGCAAGAAATTTGCCCAATCGTTCCTCATGATTTGCTGTGTAAAGAAGATTCTGATGTACATGGCAAATTTAAGGAGGCAAATCGTGGTACTGGAACCTTTCCTGTTTGTCATCGCACTCAAGATTTTGCATTTAATCCTAGCAATGCTGCAGCTTTTGACATCTCTGAGGATAACCAAAATAGGTCGCTCAATCAGTTGAGTAAAGTAAGAATACTCATTCATGCTACTATAATTTTTTACCCTACATTTATATTGTCAAATTGATGCTCTGAATGTGTGGTGCATTTGATAACTTCGAAGTCACTTGTTTGAAATGCTTCTATGCTGCAATATTAGTTTTTTTCTCTCCTTGTGCTTCATCATTTTTTATATGGAGCATCATCTCCATTTTTCTTTTTCATCTTTCTGAAATCTCAGTCTTGAAGTTTACTTCAGGGTATTTGTCAAACTTAAATTTATATAGAGTACCATATATTTGGATTAGATTTTTCTAGTATAGAACCTGACATTATATCGATATTTCTCATATATTTTGTTGTATGCGTGACATAACTTTCTACTAATTTGTTATGAAGGCGAAGTTAGTTACATATTTTTGCAGTATTATAACAATTTCTGAACAACAAAGAGTCAAACTGAATTTGTTTCTACACCACACACCACCATCTGGTTTATTTGTCCATGGCCAGTCTCAGTTGTCAATTTGTGCATAGTTTATACCTGTTAAATATGCATCTGCTGTTTATCTAATACTTATTCAGTTGTTTTACTGACATACATCATTTTGTACCAGCATAGGCTGTTTTTAGATTTCTGTAACTATAAACGTGGTCACGGTAATTGCTTTCTATCAAACAGCTGGTTTGTTGTTGGATTATTTTATGTATAGTCTTTCAAGAAAACCTTTGAGAGGGTTGTGTAGGTCTGAAGGTTAAATAAACTAGATAGAGAGTTTCATCCACTCCACTAACTTGTTTATCTTCTTTCTTTTATAGTGTAATTCACAGGACAATTTCGTGGAGTCTGTTAAAGACACTCACGAAATTTGGAGGCCTGATGCATCTATGGTAATTACTGGTGATGGCCTATCAGAACCTAATAACAAATGGAGCCAGTTTAATCAGCATTCACATAATGAGTCCGAATCTCCAATGTTAGGATCTACATCTTTGCCTGCTAAACGGAGACAAACATTGCTGAGCAATCCTTCAACATCTAAACATTTGAGATTGGGGACTCCTTTACAGGAACATCATTCGTTTCTGAGCAGTGAAAACATAAAACGTCTTGAGAGTGATTTATCCATTAAGAAAAGCATTTCTAAACTTGAATTACTTGAGAAATCTACCTTTTCTTCTTCCTTCAGTACTGAAATTGACAAATCATATATCAAGTTACTGGATTTTTCAAAATCCCCTCCTTTTGATACTTTTAAGGAGAACGAACATGAAGATTTCAAAATTAAACATGTTGAAGACTCAGTTAACGGAGAGAAGATCTCAAGTTTGAAAGGAAAAAAAAGACCTTTCAGCATCATCGGTAACAAGTTTGAGAGCCCAAATCATAATTTCAGGGAAAACCATTTGGAAGAATCTTTGGCCATTATAAAGAGTGGAAATTATTCAAATGATATGCATGCCACAATTCTTCATGCAGATCAATCAAAAGAATACAAGGGCAATGCGGCTTCACCCTCTCAGTTCACTGGGTCTGGAAAGAAAAAAGAGCAAGATTTTATAACATCAAACCTTACCAGTGATAATGCACTAATTACATCCACAACTGAATCCTCATTGGCCAAGAACACTTCAGATAAAGTAGTGAAAGCAATTGTCCCTCCTCGTAAGTATGCTACTTCTCTTGAAAAAAGGCTGGAAAATAAGTTGCCAACTTCTCCGGCAAATCAAGGTGGCCAGTATAAAGATTTAGAGCTGCAGAATCAGTTCCCCCAACTTCAAGACTTTGACCACGTCCAAGAATCATCTCTTAAGGGAAGTGTTATTGATGCTAATCTCTCAACTCCATCGGCTGATATGGATTCTTTATCCATGGAGAGGATAGAAGAGTTGAGCTCACCTATTATTGAAGTCAGGGGATTCCAAAAGTTAATTGAAGTGAAAACAAGTGGTGACAGAGAAAATCTTCATGCTAAGAAGGAAGTTTATGAAACACTTGACAACTATATTACTCCTGTTAAACATGAACAAGTGCAAATTATGCATTCTGTAATGCTGGATGGAGGTCTTCAATCTGGTAAGGACATCTCCAGGTCTGAATTCATAGATGTTTCCTATGGCTCTGTTTCTCCTTCTGCCGGCAGGAATTCAAATGAGCCAAGATTTCGGGTCAGTTTTTCTGAGTAATTTCATTGACATGTATTTCTCACTTCTGTTAGTATCTCTAATTATGTAAATTTTTGTGCATTGTGATATACGTAATGAGGCCCGGTCCTGTTCATTATTAAGGATATCTGAGATCTCGAAGAGAGAAACCTACCTGTGTCCTCTATCTGTTTGGTCCATTCTAATCACGTTTGTATGAGACTGATTTTAAATACTAATTCTGGCTTTAATTCTGGTGCTCAGAATAGATCGCATCAGAATCTGGTAGAGTTCCTTGCACACAGCCCCTCGAGGAAACAGATAGACAATAAACATTCCTCCGATATACTATATTCCAAGTCCAATCAGCTGGACAACAGACCGCAAAACTTTTCTGCACATATGAGCAAAAATATAGAATTACATGGAAATGGAATAACTGCAATGCAGAGGAGTCCTGAACGTAAGAAAGGTGGGTGTTATGATCCACGAACATTGGAATATCCTAATGATGGTAGCAGAGGAGCAGTCATGATTGGTCATGAATGGAAGCAATCGACTACTGTGCTTCAGGTGCTATTTATATTGCCATGTTATTTATCTAGCTGGGCCTGCCTAGGTTGCAATCTAGCACTTTCTGTCTCATCAAGCTCTAAGTTTTACCTTGCAGATTTATTCAAAATACTCGGAGGATATTAAACAATTGATTTCTCAGTTGACCAAGGAGCTTAATTCGAAGGCGGTACGCCTCACTTTATCTTGATTTAACTTATCCAATAAAAAAGTGCTGTCCTCGTGGCTTTATATGTTTCAGAAAAAAAAAATAAAAAATAAATAAATAAAGAGAGATGCCACAGGAGGATAGTCTTCACATTTTAGACTAACTTTTGAGTATGCAGTCACAGAAGTTTAGTTTTTCCTGTTTCTTCACCATGGTCATTCACACTTGCTAAAGATTATCTTTTGTACTGCAGATTGATGTCCTGGAAGATATTTTGCTACACCTGCAGAGGTCAAAAACATATGAATTGCTTCACAGTGAAATCTTGCCTAAGGTCTGCTAGCTCACGAGGATAATATGTGGCATTAGTAGGAAGAAGAATTATGCAATTATGATATTAAATTTTTCCTTCCTAACCTGTTCAAGTGTCTAGCTTAATTAACTTGTTCCTGACACCAACATTGATCTCTATATTCTTTCTTCAGGAAACATCTAACCTTCATAACCTTAAGCATGAAAGGTAAGTACTTATTCAGTCACAGTGACCGAAATTGATGCAGGTTCTTTGGTGCCTGCATAGTGGTTCTTTTAAATCTGCTTCAAAGGCCTGAGTTTGCTAATTTTGGATAAAATCTTGGTGCAGATTAGGTGAAACAAGACTATTGTTGCAACAGATTGTGCTCGAAAAGGCAAAGTTACAGCTGAAGAATGTGAAGAGGGAGCGACTGTTGGTACTATTTTCTGTTGTTTCATTTTTTCTTTATGCCCTCGTTGTTTATAACCAATCAATTTACATTTTACATGCAGAAAAATTTACAAATTTTGAGCTCTAGGACTCAGGAGTTGCAAATGTTAAAGATGAGTTCTTTGTCAAGGTTACTGAAGACGCGTGCTGCTAATATCAAAGCTGATGCTGTTTCTCGTCATTTATTTTCTATTGATTCAGAAAACAAAGATGAGGTATAGGACAAGTTAAGCTGCATATCTGTAGTTTTGCACTTGTATTTTAGTGACTGGTGAAGTGGATATAAGTTTAAAGTATTTCTGCATATTGTTTGCTATTGTCTATCAGAAATTGTTAGGAAATTTTTACTTATGTAAATTGCTCCTGGGTATACCTTATTACATTTTCTCTTCGATGAGGGACAAATACTACTACATCCAAGTGCCCCCATCTTCCTGGGGTGGGAGGGTGGAGGGACCAGCTTAGGTGATTTCAACCCTTGACTACCTAGTTTTATCAGTATGTATGTGGCTATGCATATAGTTTTGTCCTCATTGGCTCATTCTGTTCTGTTTTAAAATTATAGCATGTCATGAGTTTTGTCTAGAAAATTTGAGGAGCTGGTCTTCTATATAACGTGTATCATTTTTGTAATGCCAGGGTATACATGACAAATTGACTACAATGAGGCAGGCTTTAGAAGCTTCAGAGAGAAAGATTACAAACTTAAACAAAACTTTTCATGTTTCTTGCAAGCTCAAAGGCGAACCAAGCTGTGGCGACACCATTGCGTTAGTTAATGAACGTTTGATAAAGAGGGCTTGTGGCAGGTTCATTCGTCTGTATATGCAGGTGTCTCATTCTTGCCATGTTTAACTGTTATTCTCATTACAAGGCCCAAATCCCATTACTTTGTTATTCTTTCTTTTTAGGCATCTGTGTTCTTCTTCTTCTCTTTTGGGGGTGGGGTGAGACGTAATCAACAGTATGATTAATTGGCCTGTAAATATTAGAAGTAAACCTATACGAGATAGGGGTCTAAAGTGAGTTTTTGAAGATTAGGTGAATGGTGGATTAGTACTACATGGATTGACTCCAGCCTCTACAAAATAAGTCGCCTCCCTACCAAAAGAAGAGAGTAATTTTTCATGCCATATCTTGTGTTACTGAAATATCCCACCTGCTCTTTCTCCAGATTTGGATGGTACTTAATGTGGAAAGTATGAATGGTCAGCAGAATATTATTCTCAATTACCTTGATTTCGCCACACAAAGGTTTCTACGAAAGAAATTTCATTTTCATTCTTATTTATTCTGGTTGCCATTATCAAAAATAACATTTTTCCTCTTACAATTGGCCTCAAATATTTTCACTTGTGATCAATGCAGCCTAAAGGTTAACGTGGGTCCTGCATCAACCATAGCAATTTCATTCAAGTTGAATGATGGGAACATCATAAAGGTGATGCTGTCATTATCAAGGAATTGATTTTATCTCTCTTCTTGCTGATTATGACTTAATGTGTTGTGTTTTCTGCTCATCAGAATTTCCCAAATATGGATGCTTGCAGTGCTTTTGCATTTGTGTTAGATGCTGACATCAGAAGAAAATATGTGGGTGTTAGAACTCTGGTAACAGAAACACAAGTAAGTTATATCTATCCTGTGTCTACTTCTCTGCGAGGCACATGTGCATACGTGTGTGCTTTCAAGAAGGACAATGAAGATAAAGTCTGAATTCCCTTTTCTGTAAAAAAGATATTATTTATTAAAATCTACTTCTGGCATTCGAAGGATCTTTTCTCTCTCTTTTGTTGACCACTTTATGCTTTTGGCGTTTCTAACTAACTTGGATATCAAATCATTTAAGTTCAATATATTTGTAATGAATAACTGTCAACTGTAACCAATTTATGCCTTAGAAGATTCTGAATCCTTCTCAATGTGTAGGCTCTGTAAACAGTCGAAGTTTTCAAAATTCTGATCTGAATCCCAAGTCCATTGGATCTTATCTTTTCATGTGCTGCATGAATGAAAACTTGGTTTAATTTTCTGATATGTAAGCCTGGTTGCCACTTGACTTTGACCTTGGCCTTGGCCTCACTTACTATTGCTTATGATTTCTTGTGCAGTATCTAATGAGAAACATATTTCTCATGTTGAATGACCTTAAAGTTGACCTACAGTGCATTTAATGAGGACCTACAACATTAATTTTTAAAATCCGGTATAGATCATGTTTGTCAAAGTTTAAACTATAATTTAAGCCGATCAAACATACTTTTTATCCATACATTTTGTACGATCCACAACTCACTACCCACTTATTTTCTATACATTCCATAGAACTCACACTGTGTAATCACTTAAAGGCACAACCAAACAAGCATATAATTCGTCTCCAACAATAATATTGTTCTCTCTTTCTCATTGATTATGTAGGTAACCAGCTCCCTCCTGGGAACTTTGTTGGATGTGCTTGAGGAGGTGCAACTAGCAAAGTTGGAGCTCCCCAGTTTGAATCAGTCAAGCTTTTATTGCCCATCTGGTAATTTCGTTCTCCTTGTAACTATCATTTAGCTTCAAGTATGATGTTTAACATAATTGACAGGTTGATTCTTGACTGTGTTAGTGATGGCATCTGCCTCATCTTCTGAATTATGGTGCCTTTTCAATAGTGTTATTTTCTTCAAGATTGGGCTCTCCATTCTAATTAAATTTTCCTCATGGACTTTTCCTTTAACAAGCATAGAAAATCAAAAGATAGGTGAAGTTTATGGTTTTGAAGTTAGCTCATGCTATGCCAATTTACATGATATTTGGCTAATATTAATAAAGTGTTTATAATTGATCAAACCACTTTTTATGAACAAATTTCATGGGATCCACAAGTACTACCAACTTATGATCACTTATTTTTATTTATTTATAATACAAACCAATTATAAACAACTCCCAAACATGCTTTTAGTCTTAATTCATTCATTTTTCACATTTCTTCATCAGTCTAGATTTATTTTTGAGCTTGTTTACAAGTTGGCTAAGATATATTACTTTCATTTTATTAGTCTAGGCTATTTCTATTATTTTTGAGAATTGCTTGAACTTCTAGGATATGTTTTGACGGATTCTTAGTTAGGTGCCAAGTTGTATTTTTGGGGATCTTAGGCGGTATACAGGATTCACATTGATAGTTAACAATTTAACGTGGTTTCCTCATGTGGAGTTTAAACCATAAATTCTTTAATTATAGTGTTTCTTTAACTAATGGATCCCAGCTTTTAAAATTCCAGAGCCTTTAAAGTGTCTTTTATGTTGTGCATGGAGCCCCAACAGTGGGATGACTGTATCTACACGTGATTCCTGCTTATCTTCTTCCTTCTCTTTGATTTTCATCAATACATAACCTTTGCTTAGGATATCGAAGAAGTTATCTTCTCATTTTCTTTTACTTCTCTTCTAATCTCAAGCACTAAATACTTTACATTATCCATTCTTTTTAATCTTTATAAGCCTAGAATACCCATAACTTCTGAAAGGATCTCCTTTTGTAAACTCAAACATTGCATTGTAAATAGAAGCAGCCTTAGAATCTTAAGTCTTCTATTATGCTATTACATTGAAGAATTTTGAGAGTAATTGCAAAGGTGCACAGAATTAAGGATCCCATAATTTCTTTAGATTGAAGGTTGCATCATTTTTAAAGGTTGTAAGATATCCTAGATTAAGTACCCAAGAGACTTCTAAAATGCCAACTTGAATGGGACTTTATAGCCTAACTAATATATCTACTAATCGTAACTAAAGAAGGAACAAACAAAAATAGTACTATTTTTGTATTGACCAAAGTATCTGCATCGCCAAGATTACCACATGCCCTCAATTAACATTTTCTTGTTTATTTCTAACTATGTGGTAAGATGTCTCTAAAGTTCCTGGTGGAGTTCATAGTACTTTTGAAATTCTTCTGTTTAAGCCTTGCATTGCTCCAGTCACTTTTTATTAAGACTTTTGAGCAATGTACATATCCTCCTCGACAAAAGCAGCTATTGAGAAGATATTGTTCTCCACCATGTTCTGTTTGTCTCAATCAATTGGAACATTATCGTGCCAAAAGGATTTTGTTTACTTAACAAATTATTGATACGTGCACATATTTAGGTATTATTTATCTACTGAGGCCATGTTCTGTTGGTACTCCGGCAAGCACAATTATGTTTACTGAGTTTTGAAATGGTATCATATGCTTGTTGGTATTTTGCATTTCATAACTTAGCAAATACATCTAAGATGATTCATAAAAATTAAAATCTCATCTTGTACGGTTTTTGCAGAAAATCGTCTGTCTACTTGTGCATTGGGGTTACTGTTTTTCTTTTCAATTTCTCTCCTTTATTTCTCCAAACAAACCTTGTGAAGCCAACAGTGGTTATGTCTTCACATTAAAAGGCAGAACCCAGCTTATCCCAGAAAACGACAAAACAAGAATCATATGTTTGAAGTAACTTTGCAATGAAATAAGAGTGAAAATCTCCCATGCTTCCTTGCACATAAAACACTGCTGACTAGAACAACAACGGACATCCACGCCATCAGAAGAGCATTTTGAGCAGAGCATTCAACACAAAAAAAGCAGAACTTCTTTCATAGTTATAGTTGATCACATAGCCTTATTAGGTCGCAGGCTTTCTTCAGCACAGCCAAATAGTGGTTAGTAATTTTTCAATTTGGCCCTCTAATCAATATAATAAGTAACAAACATTTTTATATTCAAATCAAACATATCATGATTTGGATTTTTGTTCAATTGTAAATTAATCCCTTCATCCACAATTCTGTCTTGGTCTGAAGGCAGAGAGTTTTAGGCACAAAACTGTGAGTATTTTTAGCGTTCCGTATTTACAGTTTGTATTCTTATGTTTATAATTGTGAGTTGGACATTATGATCCGTGCTAGCTGCCAATTTACTTTTCTTTATTGCTTCTTCATTCTACATGGTAATTGGTGAGTGTAACCTGAGCACCAAGTTTAGACCGTGCTTATGGGTGTTAGGTAATTTTTTACAAACGAGTCGCTCCATGGAAATGCCCCACATGGTAATGATGGCATTCAATTGTGGAGGGAGGGAGTACTAATTGTTTTTATTTTAATGAGTGTCTCTCAGTCTCAACTAGGTCTTGAACCTATGCATCTTTTGTGAGTATAAAATTATTTTTATTATTATTATTATTTTTTCTCTTAACTCGTCAAAGATAGTTTGGTAATTGCCATCCCTGCTTCTTCCCTTTCCAATTTTAAGAATCAGGATAATGTGGAGAAAATTTCTTTTTCCATCAAAATGAATGTTCTTATTTCTTGTGCATCTTTTGATCAAATTCACTTTGCTTATGAGCGGTCAACTGCTTTTAGCTTTAAAAAAGCATGTTTCTATATGAACCGTGTGTCTTTTAACTTGCAGTTGAGCAGCTTCATCTACAGCTTTGTTTCTTTAAGTTCATTAGCGGGAGAAAGGTGACCTTGACGCTTGACTTGTCTTGTTTGAAGCGGTTCGTCCTATTCCTGAACTTTTCTTCCTTATTTTCATTTTTCTGTTGGGAAGTGCCAGTTTTTGTACACCAGCTAATTAATTTCCCCTCTTCAGCCACTCGTTCCCAGAAATATAAGCCCTTGTTTGGGCTTCATTTTAATGAGGCTTTGGGAAAAGTGTGTATTGGAATAGTAATTTTTGGAGAATGTGTGGTTAAAAAGTAAAGAAAAGTTTTGGGTGTACATGCAATATTGTTTTATTGAAGAATGTGGTTGTAAATGAGCTTTGAAAAAATGTGTTTTTGGTGTCATGGAGCCCAAACAAGGGCTAAATAACTCGATAAATTAAATGTTCTTTAGAGATACATGAAAGCATGTATTAAAGTAGGGTGTAAAGGGCTGTATGTTGATTACTAAGGTTGCTGGAGATGGAGGGGGTCAAGCTGTCACGTTTTAACCAATTGATTGTTGCCTTCATCTCTTAGATTGACATTAAGCACAATGATCTTGTGTGCTGAAGTCGATAGCATTTTTTTTTTTTCCAGCCATATAGCACCAGTGGCATACTTATTTACATTCACTATAATCATAAGTACTTATTAAGCCTCTTAAAAATAACACCAAAGCTGGAGAAGGCAATTTCCTTATGCTTGATGGGGATAATTTAGCCCATGTTTGATGGCCATTATTGGGAAGAACATTGTTTTGAATAGTGATTTTTAGGAGAATGCGTGGTTAAAAAGTACAAAAAAATTTGTAGTTTAGATATTGAATATTTAATTGCGTGAATGTGTGGTTGGGAATGAGTATATAGAAAAAAGAGTTTTCAAATAATAGTCTTCAAACATGGGCTTAGGTTTGGTTGAAATATATTTCTGCATTGCACGGATTTATGTTTAATTGTAAGTTTGTAATACTCACTCGTATGGTATTTTTGCAGAGGCATATACCCTTCAGAGGTCCTTCCATCAGATTTGGCAGCTCCAACTGACTGGCCTCAATATTCGTCGTCTGAACCAGCATTAGCTGAAATTAGAGATGCAGCGAGGAAGGTAAGTGCTGGGTATATGAGGATTTTCCGGCTATGCAAGTGTGTTGCCAAGGTGCTTCAAGCTTCAAGTGTGTAAATTTTTCGGCAGAACCCCATTAGAGAAATAGCTGTTGTGGTTCGATAAAGAACATGTTCATAATGCCATCTTCACCTAGCTTTTTGAAGGAGATGAAAAATGAAAATAACTTTGATACACTAGCAAGGTTATCCAATACTATTTTTCGTGGGACAACTATTTCTTAGGTGCATTGGTTTTGAAATAATTAAAATTTCTCATTCTGAATAATTAATATTTTTAAATTTCGATAAATAGAGGGTAATTGAAAACTTTTGAACCTCAAAATCTTGTCATCAATCATTAAGGGTGTGTTCTATTTGCTGTTTTCGGGCCGTTTTTTATTTTCGATTTTTCAAAATGGTGAAAATGCGTTCTCTTTCCCGTTTTCGAAAACGAAAAAAAAATTGTAAAGAAAACTTTAAAAAATTGAAAACGCGAGAAATTGTTCCATTTGAGAAATAGCTTTTCAAAATGGCAAAAGAACGCATTTTTAACAATTTCAAAACAGGTATTCAAAACGCAAAATTCAAAATGAATTTAAAATTCAAAATTATCAAATTGAAACACGAAGAGAACAGTTCCCAAAGGTTCCATGTTCTATAGCCTTTCCAATGTCCAAGTGGTATATTTTATGTTGGGCCCAATTCAATGTCAAATTTAGGGCATTGGTCCCACTACTTTAGTCGAGGAAATAATTAGAATAATACATTTATAACTAATTGTGTCTGTAATCACCTTAATTATGCTCCTAATGCACTCAAATTCATCCAAAACACGGGTGGACAAACCTCTTCTCCACTTTTAGATTTTTTTCACTTCTGAAAATTTTTAACTTAGAATTTTTATTATTTAAAATTTTTCGTTTGATGTATTTTACTCTACGATTATTCATTTTGAGCGATTCAAAAATTTGTTAGAAGCTTGTTATGTGAACATGGTATATATGTTATAGACGATGTTTAGATGTGGAAAACTATTTTGCATGAATTATTGAATGTAAAATCATATTTTTTTTCTGCTTATGTTTGGTCTCTATATTTTTAAAAATTCATTTTCAACCACACATTATTTTATGAAATAATTTTACATGCAAATTCAATTTTTTCCTTTTTTTTTTAATTATACATTATCCAACAAAATATTATTTCCAAATGCATTTTGGTCCAAAAATAGGATCAAATACACTATTATTTTCCTTATTGAAATTAGCGTAAAAATTTATGAAGTTTACACCATGATTATTAAGTTCATTTCTTGTGGTCATTTTCAACTTGTCATTATGAATTTTCGTTTATCGATTTTAAGTTTGAAACATGTATTTTAAAATTTGTTGTGAATTCTTCGAAAAGATAACAAAAATCTCATCCGATAAGTAAAGAAACATAGCCTTTAAATAAGTCAAAAGAGGTAACACAATATGGGAATTGAAAGAAAAAATAATATGCATATACTTTGAACTTCAAAATTTTGTTGTCTAATTTGGTTTATGTGACAAATAAGAATAAACTAGTTATTTTATTGATTGTATTGCATACAAATGATAACAATGAAAAATACTAAAAAAAATTATAGTAGTTGTATTCAACAGTGAAATAACATAATCAAAACATGAAATGATACCTTTCAACTGTGAACATTGTCAAAAAAGTAACACCTACCTTCGTAACACATGATAACATTAATTTTATTCATATCAGCAAAAAGAATATAAATGAAATAACGGGAAACTTTTTTTAAAAAATGACATAGTGTGTCACTTTCAAATTTTAGCATATAAATTCATATGAAAGACAAATAAAGTATTATATTATGTCACTTTTTAATATAAAATAAAGTTCGAATTCATATTAATATTTAGATTTTCACAAAGACCTTATGTGCATTTCTTTGATTGATTCAAAAAGAATTCAAATGACATAGCTAGTATGAGACTTTCTTTAAAAAGTGACATGTATGCAAAGATACATAGATTGTTGTACCACTTTTTAATTAAATATGACACAATCAATTTCTATTAGAATAATAAATTTTTGCTAAACTTTCAATTTGTTTATATGAATTTCTTTTAGATGTTAATTATTTTGCATTGTGTGAAATGTGAATTAAACTTTCATAATAGAAAAAGTGACATTTTATGTTAATTTTAATAAAAAATAATGCTACTTTTAATATAAAATAGAAAAAGAAAAAGACATTGCATGTCAATTATTATTATTATTATTATTATTTATTTGTTTAAAAACCTACTAATCTCCTTCGATTCAATTGCTCAGCAACAGCCAAGGAGAAATCAAAACCTAGGCAGACCACAGACGGCTTGAGCCTTGAGCAAATTGATAGCTTCATTTTATTTTTTACTTCCAGGTGGGAGGAGATTTTGGGGGTTTCCGAGATTGAAAGGTGCCCGTCAGATTAGTGTCCGGAAAAAGTTACCGGATAGGATCGGATAGGTCTGGAAGTCTTGTTCTCAGATGGTAATCCAATTTCACGGTCAAATTCAGGTACATAATAATTTTCACTTTTTTTGGGTATATTGGTGATTTGGCATTCATAAAAGTCAAAAGCTCACTGCTTTAATTTGAAGGGAAATCTGTTGACGAAAACAATGTAAAGGAAATCAAATAAAGCAATTAACTTTTTCTTTAGGTAATACGACATGAATTTTGAGAAATTGAAGCAACTTACTTTATTTTAGAATCCACTTTTTTACCTTGGGGGATTGGTGCCTGGTCATTTGAATTTAATGAACCTAGTTTTCTGCATAAGAAAGGAGCTAATTTTGAATCTTTGATTATAGAATATTTGATAAAATAAGACAAGTCAGTGTCTTGGCTTTCGTTGTCTAAGTATTTGGGAAACAGTGGTGACATAGAAGTCAATTAATCAAACACAATTCAACAGCCAAAACAATGCATCAGTGCTGAACTCTTCAACCCTGTAACTTATTCTGAAAATAATTAATATGGAATTGTGGACTTCTATAATCGTGTGCAAGTTTCAAAAAAACAACAAAAAATAGATAGGTTTAGATGTCCATCATAGGCAAGTTAGGGTTTTTGATGGTTTTAACGTTTCATCTCCCAAATGCTAAAACCCTAACATCTTATATTTGTTTTTGTACAATTAATTATTTCTATGGAGGGATTGAAAGAATGTGAAGCAAACTTGGTGGTGTATCTCCACCCATCCATGGCCAAATGCGTCAACGATGCTATCCTCCGTGAGCTAAGCTCTCTACTCTTCACGTAATTTTTCAAGTAACCCTTTCTCCTATGCACGAGATTGTTTCTCTTTTGTTATTTGTTTTCCGATTTCTGGATTCTTATTCTTGGATTTTGCTACTTGTTTGTAAAAACGATACATAAGCTGTTACCGACGTGGTGGGACAAAAATTGGATGGAAAAGTGGGCAAATGGTAAGAGTGCCACGTGGATATTGCGTTTTCCATTGTGTATACCTTGATTTTGCATGTAGTGAGGTCCTTTTTCTTAGCCAACTTGGAGGGAATAGTCTAGAGTCTTTGAAGGCAATGCTTTCTTCATTGCCATGGCTGATTAACCAACATCTGCCGCCCATATATATGAGTTTTCTGCTTGTCTTGTCAGTGGGCGGTGTGATACAATTCAGAGAGTACAGTGCTGCGAGAGTGGGTGAACTTTAGGTGCTTGCTTGAGCTTCTTATTATATTGTCCAATAATATAAATTCCAGTGCTCTGTCTGTATAATAAAATAATTTCTTTGTGCCCAAACTCAACAACATTCGAGTTCCTTTAGAATGTAAAAATTAATGCTTTTGGATATAAGGTACTATAAACTGATTTCTGTATTTGTTACCTTTTGTATTAATATTTGAATCTGAGGGTTTTGTTTCTTTGAATTCGTTTGTTGTCCTTATAGATACAATGAGACTTTTGATGGCGTTGTATTGGCATATGATCCGAATGTACGAAGTAATTTGGCAAAGATTCTTCCCGGAATTCATCCGTATCTTGGTGTGAGGTTAAAAGCAAAATTGTTGCTTTTTAGTCCCAAGCCTAATATGCTTTTAGGTAGTTTCCCTATCGTTTCATGCTAGTGTAAATTTTGAATATTTTGATAGAAGGTGAAATAATTTCAATGAAATGAGGACTATGTAAATTGGATGAGTTTGTTGATACTCTCTTCTTTTCACTTGTCACTTTTCACAGAAGGAGAGGTAGTTAAAATTGGTAGACAGTCGATTCATGCTGTGATTCTTGGTTTTTCGTCTGCTGTTATATCAGATGAAGACATTCGTGATGAATTCAAGTGTAAAGTTGTAAGTCTCTTCTTTGCCGATCCTGTATTAGCTAGCATAGTGTTTGGGATAATGCAGTATTATTGAGTTTTTATGTATTTTCATTTTGCTGCAGAAACATGGAAAGGAAGTGTTTGTTAGCCGACATCACAAGAAACACAAGATCAAAGTTGGAACTATAATACGATTTTTAGTGAAGAGGTGAAATATCTGCTAGGTTCTTTGTCCGAAATGAGGCTTTAGAGTCTAATGGATGCGATTTTCCATATATGATACCTGTTTTCCATTTAAGAAAAGACCACTAATGGTTTTAGTTAGTGAACCGAACTGAATATAGTTTGTTATTTTTCATCAGTTGCATTCTATATTTTTGCACAGAGTTAATCCAGGTTTGGATATCATAATATGTTGAAATTTGGTAAACCATATATTTTTTGCAAAGGACAGTGTTTACTTTTCTGTAGTTGATGGGTATGAAAAATTTGGCAGGCTTGCTATATGTATATGCACTTCAATATATGGTATAAATTTATTTTGAATGAAATGTATCTTTGATAGTTTTTTCCCATAAAATTTGCAGTTCATTCATTCATTCAGCATTGCAATTGTTTCCACTTTATTAGCCGTATAGTATTCATTACACCTAAGACTTTCTGATATTAGTGATCATTAAAAATGTCTCACTTTCCCACTCATTTGTGTCTTGTTTGGGTTGTGGGATAATCTACATTGTGAGTTATACTCATTATTGATAGATATGATCGGATGAGTTATTGAAAGAGTAATTAAGCATTAAATGACAGCAGGGTTTTAAAATTCCAAATCTGATGGACACTTAACCAAGCTGAGAAGGATGATAACTCATAGAGCTATTGTATGTTTTAGGAAAGGAATATACATTGGAATTAAATCTTTTAGGGGCTATTTTATTTAGATTTAGAAGAAAGGAACCCACTAATGAAAAATCTTAAATTGTTTTTGAACATATATGACGGAATAGGTTTAATAAAAATTCACTTCATATTATTTATGGAGTTCTAAAAAGTTTAGTACAACCAAGATCACATCGAAATACCTAATTTTAATCACAGTGACTGTCTTCAGAATGAGGGCTGTGGTTTTCGGAGAGCCATTTAGCTGCGTCAACCTCCTTAATGGGCTAATGTTGCTGTACATTTCCAGTGGAATTGCTCATGATGAAGTTGTGGATCTTCTTTGTCTGCATTTTATGCTTGATTCACTATGATCTGTGAGGACAAAATGTGTGAAAAGTCGTCTCTCTCTCTCTCTCTCTCTCTCTCTCTCTCTCTCTCTCTCTCTCTCTCTCTCTCTCTCTCACTTCTAGTCCTTATTCTCTCACTTATGTGCTGAGATTTTAATTCATTTTTCTACCAGAGTTTAACATTTTTTGTATCTTATTCCTTCTCCATAAAATTTTTCTTCTCCAACTACGGCTCTAGTAAATGCTACACACATGTATAATGTGTGTTATACCATGCTTCCATAATACGTATTACCATGAAACTGTAAATGCTCGTGCATAAAATATCAAGCATATGCACACGAGCTTTTAATTGACTTGGACCTTAGTCTTTTCATTGAAGTATTTTCCGTCTTATGCTGCTACATCATCCATGTTAGTAGATATATGCTGAGATTGTAAATTGTAGCGTTCAAGGAGCATTTTCTAAGAAATATAGGTTAAGAGTGATTTTTAGATTTTAAAAGTGCATTGCTTGTAGAATTCTCAGCACCTGTATTCAGTAGGTTTATTTTGTTCAATCCTAGGACTACTTTGTAGAATACAATAACAAGATTTACAAAAGTTGTGTTGGAAAGTTGTTCATTGTGTTATGCTGCTTTTGTTAAATTCAATCATGTTCCGTGTCCTTATAGCTTTGATGAAGAGATACTCCACATTTCTGGTTCTTTGGTTACTGCCAATACGGGATGCGCGCGATGGTTAGATACAAATTTGGAAGAATGGTCTCAAGCTGACAGGTCACGATCTAAATTGTAGTCAACTCAGTAATATGAAGTATATCTGTCAATAAGCATATTTATATGATGTTCAACTGAAAGTTTTCTATTATTTAAATTGTTGTTGCAGTACCACTAGGAAGAGGAAAGATAGGGATGAGAAGGAGCAAAAGACTGCAGATGACAAATTAATGGCCAGTAGGGATATCCCTCCCTTGAAAAAGGCTGATAGAATTAAGAAGTTGAAGAAGAAGAAGCGAAAAGAACATACATGAAGTTTGCTGCTGATTTGCATATGCCTGCATTCTCAAGACGCATGACTTAAAAGTAATTTTTTTTTCTGCTGAAAATTATCATTGAATCTTTCTTCACTTGCTGGCGGCCTCATCTTGCAATATGCCTTTTCACTTGTAATGTTATGCATACAAGTATTTTCCTTGTACAATTTCTTGCAGTTTTCCCGGCAAATTTTGTACCGTTCATAGTGTTTATTATGATATAGTTGTTACTGTCTTCTTAAGTCCAGCATTGGTGTACTTTCTAGATATTTCACAGTTAATGATATATTATTGTTGTCCTAAAAATTGTGTGAATTGGTGAACTTTTTGGAATGTCAGAGAAGCTTTTGCTTGGTATTCCTTATTTTTTGTTTTCCTCCACTTATATATGGCTTGAAGTCCATCCTAGTCGGATGGTAGGGATCGAACTCTAAGAATTACTTGTGCCATTCTTCAGTTTAGTTGTTTAGTATACTTAAAACATTTCAGAGCTTTTGATTCCATGTGGATCGCATCATGTGTTTTCAACCCTAACTCTTTTTGAGATGCCTGAACTTTTCCTAATCCCTTTGACATTGTGAAACCTCACTAATTGAATGGTTATCTTCTAGGGTATTGTTTAACACAACACCTAGAACAACCTATTGAACCTTCCTTTTTCTTTTCTTTTTTCTCCCCTTTTTTATCCTTTTCCTCCTGAAGCTCCAAACCTTCAGTTGTGTATCTTAAACCCACCTTTTCCCAGTCATCTCAGCCATAAAATTAATGAAAACTGAAATTTCTCATTTTATGCTGCCATATTAGAAGTAAAATTTTGAAATTATAGTTGATAGATCCCCAACTAGTCCTACATGAATATTCCTCCATTTTGGATACCATGTGATAGCGAGGCTCATTTGAATGTTTGTCTCAGTTGTGGTCACACAGGGTGTGGAAAGTAGATCCCGTAGGGCGCAAATCAAATGAATGGGAGATGTAGAGAAGTGGAGGAAATAAATTTATTGTCATGTGGAGAGATTAAACAAAATGGATGTTGGTAGTTTATGGAAATCTTGTGAGAATCTTAAGCAGTATTTGAAATATAATGGACATTCAGACATTATTGGTGATGACTTGTGTACGGAATTGACAGTTTTGAAGTGCTATTTGCCTAAAGAAAGAAAAAGAGCAATTGATGTGCTAAATTACTTAAAGAAAATGAATGGTTGTTTTCCAAATGCTTGCATTGCTTACAAGATTTTGCTCACTTTATCATTAAAGTTGCATCAGCAGAAAGAAGTTTCTCCAAATTGAAATTGATTAAAATTTATCTTCGGTCAACTATGTTAAAGCAAAAATTAAATGGATTGGCCATGCTATCCATTGAAAAAGAAATGGTTGAACAAATTGACTACACAAAATTAATTGATATTTTTGCCTCAAAATCTGCAAGACGAGTTGTATTTAAGTGATCGTTTAGAACATTTTTTATATTGTTATTTGATTGTCGTATAAAAATTTTGATTATTTCATTTTATTTGTTACTTTATTGTTGATTTTAAGTTAACAAATTTAGTTTCGTAAAACTTTTATAAATGAAAAAGTGGATTGCTTGCTACAACTTATGAGCCCAAATTCTGAAGTTCGCCTCAAGCCCGCGAAAGACAGGTATGACACACAGGTCGTAGGGTTGCTGGTTCAACTGACGATCTAATAGGTTAAATTTTGTAGAACCGTTGAATCAATTTCTATAAAATATAACATAAAATCTTGAAATTTTCTTCCGTTCACTATATTAATATTATTAGAAATGATCTCCTAACATGGTTGTAAAATCACTAAAGTCCAAATCATTGAAAACAGTACATATATTATAGAAAATCAGAAAAAAGTTCTGGTATTTTGTGCCTGTTTATCTACCCTAGAATTTCGAGATATCAGTAAAGGAGCATGTTTTAAAGATGAGGATCCATTTTACACGGATGGATGGTTCTTGCTATGCCATTGTTGATTCAAGAGCCAGAAATAACATTTAGTGTAGCAACAGTCACTGAAGTCAATCTTTCATAACTTATTGAAGTCAACTAGTATGACCAAGTATTTCTTTCAAGTGATTGTACAAAAAGTTATCTTCTTAGATATTTAGATGTTGGGCAACAAGCTTGACATTCACAGTGCAGTAACTGATGGTATTGCTTGAGATGGGTTTTAAGACTGCTTTATTTGGGGTTTGTGTGACCTTCAGGACAATTATTTTATTCAAAGTTATCATAGTTGGATAATAATCGATAAGAAACTACAGGGACAATTCTGTTACATTCTATGATGGGAAGGAAGTTACTGGTGGGCTTGACAAAAAAATCAAAAAAAATGTGAGTGCGAGTGCATATTAAGTCCAGATTGTCTAAAGTGAATGGGATTGTACTCAGATTTGACAGCTTCACTGTAAAATTATTTACTTTACTACTGAAAACAATATAGCTGGTTGATTTTATAGGACGTAGAAGAGACTATAGCCAGTTGACGATGCTTTCCTTCCTCTCTTGGAGCTGTTTGTTGAGGCCATATTGATAGGTGACTTGCATTGCAAGATTGTATATTGTGGAGCCCTCGAGATCAAACTTGGGTTCTTTGGTCAGATAGCTTCTAGGATTTCGTTTGTTCTCTGTCTAATTGTTTCACTATTTGGAAAGATTAGCTGAACTTTGCATTGGAAAAAGTCATTTATCAACAGTTCCTCTGAAGATTGTTTTCTTCTCTTGAAAAGTTGTACTGTGAGGATATGTTCAAGTGTTCAACCGGTGATAATCTAAGGAAAATGATTTTTTAATCACTCATATTCTTGTTGTGCAAGATAGACATAGACGGCATGATTCACTCACTGCAATGTAGGGTGGCTAGATACCTATGGTTGTTGCATCAGTGGGATATTGTGGGTGTATGGTAATGCCATGTACAAAGATAAAATTTTCTACTAAGTTCTCCTTGCATGAAGCAGGAGAAAAGGGACAGAAATCTCAGAATTCGCCATATTACGTGTCTTCTGGATGCTATGAAATAAGAAAAATAGGAGAGGATTTGAAGAGGTTCCACAATCAGCATAAGTGCCAAAGGCAGTGCATATTAAGTCCAGATTGTCTAAAGTGAATGGGATTGTACTCAGATTTGACAGCTTCACTGTAAAATTATTTACTTTACTACTGAAAACAATATAGCTGGTTGATTTTATAGGACGTAGAAGAGACTATAGCCAGTTGACGATGCTTTCCTTCCTCTCTTGGAGCTGTTTGTTGAGGCCATATTGATAGGTGACTTGCATTGCAAGATTGTATATTGTGGAGCCCTCGAGATCAAACTTGGGTTCTTTGGTCAGATAGCTTCTAGGATTTCGTTTGTTCTCTGTCTAATTGTTTCACTATTTGGAAAGATTAGCTGAACTTTGCGTTGGAAAAAGTCATTTATCAACAGTTCCTCTGAAGATTGTTTTCTTCTCTTGAAAAGTTGTACTGTGAGGATATGTTCGAGTGTTCAACTGGTGATAATCTAAGGAAAATGATTTTTTAATCACTCATATTCTTGTTGTGCAAGATAGACATAGACGGCATGATTCACTCACTGCAATGTAGGGTGGCTAGATACCTATGGTTGTTGCATCAGTGGGATATTGTGGGTGTATGGTAATGCCATGTACAAAGATAAAATTTTCTACTAAGTTCTCCTTGCATGAAGCAGGAGAAAAGGGACAGAAATCTCAGAATTCGCCATATTACGTGTCTTCTGGATGCTATGAAATAAGAAAAATAGGAGAGGATTTGAAGAGGTTCCACAATCAGCATAAGTGCCAAAGGCTCTTTTTTTCCTTTTTCTTGTTGCATTTTTCTGAACTCTAGAGACTTCCATTTTTTGACTGAATTCAGGAAAACATGACATAATTTATCCAGGGGTAAATTATTTGCTCAATGGCATGCATGTTGCCTCCCTGGGTGCTCCATAGCTTTACTTGTTAATAAAGATAAATAAGTTGAGATAGAATATCTTAAGCTTGTGTTTCTAGCTTTTCTTAATTTTTTAAATGATTATATACTGGAAGATATTGTTTGTGTCTGTCAAGACTCGTTTACTTTCTTGATTGTCTAGCTGACTACTTTTTTCCCTCGAGTATTGTTAATTCACTGACAATCATTTTTAATCATCTGCATTGAGCATTACCCAGTAAAATTAGCAAGATCAAAGCTGAACTGAAGAAAATATAATTAGAAGAAATTTGACAAACAAAGATCATGCATGGATCTTGGATTTGTTGCTGGCTCTGCTTTGATGATGTCAGTGTGAAAAGTAGGCTAGCTTTTTTCTGGTGCCTAAAATTTTTTTTTGGTGTTCCGCTACCTTGCAGACACTGAACTAAACTTGAACATGGTAGAATTAGGGATATGCATTATCGGAAAGCTTCACTCAAATGAAATTTAATTGTACTTTGCTATGAAAAATTGTTCTGCAGCAGTCACTTGTAGTGATGTTAATGTGTCCTATTTTTAATTGCAGAGATTTGATTTTGGAAATTTCTGTACATGTAGAGGTGGATAGAACGGAGGAGATAAAAGATTCATGTAGACAAGCCCGGGTTTACTAGGAGGAAGGCTTGGTTTGTTATTGTTACCAAGGAATAAAGCTTAACGAAAATGCAAGAATATTGCATATCAATGATATTTAGTCGACCATAATACTTGGACAAGTAGACCTCTTCTATAGATTTAGGGGAAAAGCTTCTCATGCTTCTTGTTTTGGCTGTTGTGGGTGCATATTCAAGGGGATGATAGGCTTATTTGGACGTGTTAATAAATAGAACAGAAAATTAGATATATTGGCTACAGGTTTCTTATGAATTGAATTATTTGCTGTGCACAACCATGAAGTGTGGTTCTTCCGAACAGTTGACATTAATCTGAATTTTGTGGAGTATCCTGATATTGTATTTTCTTTAGGTTTTAATATTTGACATCCAGTGTTCATATCGATGACTACATCAGTAATGGTAATTGTTTTTTCTTAATCGTCCGGTCTACATATATTCATTTAAATTGTGCCTTCAAAATGCCCCTAACGTGTAATGTTTTCCATGGAAGCCTAACCCTTGCTCAAAATTTTCTTTAATTTCGACAAAATTGAAAATGTTATTCTTGAACATTTTTGGGTTTGGTTGAAATCTCCAACACCTTAATTTTCCTCTTAATAGGGGTCATCTGCTGCAGTGGCAAATGTGCCACAACCAACATGCAGCAATGCAGTTGTGCTCGGTTCGCCATGTCAAATGATTTCTGTTACTTTTGAAAGGTCACGTAGTCCCTGTACTGTTGGGGCTACATTTATTGGAGGGACAATTTTATACATATCGAATTTTTTTACCGAATCTTTTACCTACTATTCACAACAGGAGTGGAGATCACATGTCGACATTTTTAAATTCATGCAGGGCTCGCATGCATTGTGAGAAGGGGGACACCATTCGATACATGTGGAATAATCTTTATTGGAGAAACTTGTTACTTCAAATATATTTGTTTTATTTATTTTATGGGATGACAGTGTGCTGCATTAGTCATCCAATACAGATGAGGGTGATTTTAGAGGGTGTTTGACACCCATTTTTATGAAAAAATAAATTTTAGAATAGTAGATTGATAGATAATGTGTAGATAAAAATAAGGAAATTTTTTGATTTATGAGTAATATTATTTTAATGAAGAATGTGTGGTTAAAAAGAAGAGAGAAAAATGTATTTTGATAAAAATGAGAATCAAATGGGGCTATCTGCATAACAAATATTTGTCAGTTTTAATTTGTTGTTTGTAAATACAAGTAGATATGCACATTGTGATTGGTTAAAGAATAAATCACTTACCTTGTTGAATTCTTTCTTGGATCGCTGGGTGACAGCAAGTGCTTGTTAAACTCTAGATAAAAGGTACTCTCAAAATGTTATCATATGGAAAATCTTTGTTAGCCATCATATCCATTCCAATATATCAAAAATACTCGTGTTGTCTTCTCTCCCATTTTGCTCTTTTTATTGAGAAGGGCCTTGCGTCTTTATGCCAAAAATTACATAATCATAGACTAATGCTAACTAGTCACATAAAGACAGATGAACAATACGATAAATGATTCTTCGCTTCATAAGGCGTTGATCTTTACATAACAAGAGCAGGGCCGGTCCTGTGATTGTAGGGCCCCGAGGCGAAATCCAAAAATTAGGCCCACCAAAATCAACGTAAATGCAAAATTCAACGGTATATTACGCAACATATTGTCAACTTAAAACTTAACATTAGAACAACAAATAAATATCTCAATCATCTCACAATTAATGAAAAACTATTTTCCTTTTCCTTCTAATATTAAAAAAACTAATAAAAAAATAAAAACTTTTGGACCAAAATATGCTCCCTATGGTTTTGGACCTGAGGCACAGGCCTCATTTGCCTGGCCACAGGACCGACTCTGCACAAGAGCCACAGACTATCCACAAAAAAATAAAAAAATAAAAATAATGCCATTAAATTGGGCCACAATAGCATCACACCTCTCTAACTTGTAATCATTGTAATGTACCAAACATGCTCATGTTATAAGAAAATTTTGTCTGCATTCTAACCTTGTTCTTTAAATTCAAAACATCTGGTGATAAAATACCTCAATGCCAATAAACTAGATTATAAGGTCCGTTTGATTGTAAAAATGGAATTTAATTGTCTAGAAAATGGATTTCAGGAAATTGAATTGCCTAAAATTGTTTTTCTGAGAATTTTAAATTAGGGTCCGTTTGATTACAAAAATGAAATTGAATTGCCTAAAAATTATTTTCCTGAGAATTGTAAATTATTGTATTTGATTTGTATAATTTTCTACGTGGAAAATGTTGAAATAAAAATCTTTTTTGGTGTGCGTTTGGTTTTGTCTTACATGAAAATTGTCAATTAAATGGATAGATTTTACTGGTATTGGGGATTAAATTTGTTTCTATTGCTAACACAAAAAAAAAACAAAACAAAAATTTCAAGAAAATCATCTATCTTTAGGTGTTCGTTTGATTTTATTTTACATGAAAATTACCATTTAAAGGGAAATATTTTTTTACAATAATTCTTAAAATTTGTTTTCATTGCCAACAAAAAAAAAAAAAAATTTAAAAATGCTACAGTAGATAGGAAAACCAATTTCCCACCAAAAAAATAAAAGTGAAAATGAAAATGAAAATGCTAAGTAGATATAGTGGGAAATGACTTTCCTTAAAAACCAAGAAGAGTGCAAACTTCATGACAACCAAGAATTCGAATTTCGTGAAAAAAAAAATGTATCAAACACCTAAAGTTGGAAAATCCAATTCCAATTCCATCTTCCAATTCCATTTCCACCCTATCAAACACAACCTAACTTCTTTTCTTCCTTAATATTATCCAATGATGTTAAGTCCTCGCTATCAAACATGCACTAAAAGCATTGGTCGTCATCTGATGAAGAGGAGATTCCACACTAGGAAGAAATACCAACAAACCCGATAAGATAGTGCCCAAGGCTTCACATAACATAAAATGTGAGAAATTCTTACTGGCTTCTTCTCCCAGTCTTTCACTTTGGCACTTCTTACCATGTAAGTATCGCACAGAAGCCCCCATGAAGGACCTTCGCCACCATCCACCGAGCCAGTAGGTTTATCTACCTGCACGGGACCAAATCATACGAATTTTGACGGTTAAAATTAAGAATTCCATGGTTCCTAGTGAAACGTGTTGTTACTTGGAAGAGATACAGAGAACCTCGGAATAGTTTCAGCTGATTGAGAGAATGTCTTGGCCAACTTGGTAAAAAAGACTTCTTTTTCTCTTCCTCATTACTAACATCTTTATGGCACCATAAGACTATTTTTGGTTGAAATGGGTAGATCATGTGGGTTGATCCGACCCGATTTGCATGGAATAGTTTTTGGAGGGAGGAATTGAATTTTAAGTTTGAAATTCAAACTCCCACCATTTACTACGTCCACACGACTTCCACTACACCTATAACTCATGAAACTAATGCAAATTCGGGTTTTTTCATGGAGAGAAAAATAGATAAGGTGTGTGGCTTGATTTTAGAAGAATAACATTTCAAATTTGATCCTTGGATTGTGAACATCAAACTCCTTCGTTATCGAGTTTTTGATCAAGAAGGCAGGGTGAAAACTGAGCAAATCAAAGGCAAGTAATTCAACATCGTTTTGGAATTAGAAGTAAGTTTCACCACTTGAAATTCGATCTAAGCATGCGCATACGTTTTACACTACTGAAATACAAAAAAAAAAAAAGAATTTCAAGAAAATAAGTTTGTTTCCATACACTGTCAAAACTGTGACCAAATTGAATACCTTTTCATCCTTCGATCTTGATGAATTTATTCCTTTCTATGCATTTTGAGCCTTGTTTACCTGTTAAATACACCAACAATAAGCATGAAAGTTAACGCTCACGTACGCACAATACATGAAAACTCATTGCCCATGAATAAATAAAAACCGTTTCAAGTTTCAAAACAAAAAATTAGAGTAAACATATAATAATGGATTTAAAATTATAACCAATTGTCATCTTTGTTCCTATACCACAAATATTCTTAAAATGTCATTAAAATAAGCCTATGTTTGGTTTAGCTAAAAATCAAAATTTAAGTGGATGTTGATAAAAGCTGATGAAATGCGTGGTTAAAAAGTTATAAAAAAGGTACTGCTATTTCCATCAACATTTTTTATAAGTACATTACACCATAAGTTCATCTATAATAAAATTTTAAAAAATACTATTTACATCCACGTCATATTCCAATCTTGTCCTTGTTAAATTCATTCATTTAAATATTATATATCTACATGAATTTTATATATTCATCCCACTTTAAATACATCCCTATCACTATAGATTTGACCAATCCTTAAAACTATAAACTCTTCAACCAAATGAATGAAATAAGATCAAAGCTGAACTGATTGAACATTAAATTAACATGAAATAAGTTCTTTATCCATTGAAGTTCTGAGTATTAGAATGTTTCAAACAACAAAGACTAAAGAAATAAAGAAGAAGAAAGTTTGATTAAGCAAGCTGAATTTTACTAACTTTGTAGGCTACAATTCTTCTTCTTTTTTGATTAACTGATGAAACTGCATCAGATTTCGTTTTGTATTCTTCGAAATCCGACATGATTCTCGGCACAGAAATCACATTTAGGGCCACCATCATCTATAATTATATTCATGTATTTTTCTCTATCTATTAGGATTCTAGTTAAGTACAAATGAAAACTAGTGGATCAATTTAGAGTTATGTATTTTTATTTGATTTTGTTTATGTCTATTTAAGTAAATTAACATAGGATTTAAAAGAAAACAAAATTTAATTTTTAAAAGTGGATGTATATATAAAAAGTGCGGATGAAAATAGTGGTACCCTTCAAGAATGAACTCACATTCTTTGTCTAGTATCCATGAGACTTCCGGAACAATTTATCACTGCAATATCAGTTTGAATGACGTATGTTGACCTCGCAAATTGGACCCTCCACATGGCCAACCGATAGTTACTCCACGTATTCCTCCCTGCGCACAGTCAACGCACGGTTAGACGCACACGGCTAGAACTAACGGGGGTGGTTGCGGTCGCATACACTCCGACGATCAAGTTAGTCTCTGGTGATCGGAACAATACAAAGGTTGTGCAAAATAGTGGGGAGGAGAATATATATTTGCTTGTTATGGAAAGCAATGTTGTAAGAGTTTCATTACCTTTGCCTTTTGTCAAACCTTGGGTATTCATAGGTGAGGAGAACCGTTGGATGTGTGACACGTGTATGCATCTGACGGTGTGAGGCGTCTGCTCATAGGCGTCAATTAGCCGCGTCTATAGAGTGTGCAGGTAATTACTTCTCCCGATTTGATTGACATAAAGTTGATACGTCACATCAACTAGGCTCATAGAGACGTCACATCAAC